CGAGTACGTACCATGTATTCTAAAATTAATTAGACAACTACGAATAGAGAGCAAATATGTATGTCAAATTACAGTTGATTGACCTACACGAAAGTTGTACCTAATAAGGGGTACAAATAATAGGCTCATATAGAAATGTTAACAGTTACGTATTGTTTGTGCAATATGCAATACTCAATTGAAAATGTGGTATGAAATGCTACAAAAAAAAAATTTATTTTTTACAATTTCAAATTACCTTTGAATATACTTTTTATTCAAAAAAAAAAAACCCTCACGAACAGGTTCTATTGATTTGCGATTTTAAGGTACGAAAGCCAAAAATCGAATTTTAATTTCAGAAAAATTAATTATTATTGCATGATGCAAATCATAAATGCCGAATTTGAACTAAGTTCCTTCCGCGTTAAGACAAAAAGTATTATAAAATTTTGCTCTAATGAAATCACAATGTCACCGAAGCTTCACATAACATGAATGCTACTAACCTATTAACCTATTACCTTCTCATAATACACAATATTATTGACAAATTGATATACATAGAAACTATTAATTTGGATTGCCCAAAAATTCTAAAATCTACTTCAAATATTTCTTCCTCTTTAATTTTCATTTTTTTTTTGTTTTGTTTTGTTGAATACTTTATTTTTGGTCTTCTTTACCAAAAAGAACACAAAATAACATCTGAAATTCAAAAATTTATTCACATTTTATTCAAAGTGATTCGCTTTACGCCTTTTTCCCTTAGGACATACCAAAATATAGTCAAAATATACACACTTGTATAATATATACACACACTTATATATATACACACACTTGTAAATATACAAAAGTATGTTACATAGTAATTCAGAAAACCTAAACTAAACATATGCAAAGTGAGTTTCACGAAAAATGCCCATTAGGAACAAATGTTGTATTCTCTATGTTGTATGAGGTCCTTTAGGTCTTCTATACTGATATAAATTTTCTATACTGATGATTCCTAAAAATAAGACGAAAATAAAAATGCAAAAAAAAAAATCTGATGTGGTCAGCACATAACCGACCGCATTGTGTATTGTCTAGTCAAATGAAAGTGTTACAGAATATTATAAAAATGTCTGTTAAATACTTCTTTCCAATTTTTAGGACAATAGTAAGCTTATAGTTAACATACTTAGAAAAATGTAAATTTGGCTCTTAGTAGAGTTTCGCTTTGTGCTACCCGAATTTCCTGAAATGCTCGCCAGTTAGTTTCGGTAACAACCAGAACTCAAATATCAAATTTCAAGAAATTCCATCAATTTGTTCTGTGGATATGGTGAAAAATGTAAAATCGGCCCGCAAATCAGTTCTCGAGCCCTGATCTTTCCAAAAAAGTTTTATGTTCATTGCTTTAATATGAGGAATTCATATATTAAATTTCAATGAAATCGGTTGATTATTTCTCTTTATATACACAAAAGTGTATGTTGGGCCCGTAGTAAACGTCTAGTTGCCGATGCATGATTTCTTCCAAAACATACGAATTTTTGCGGACGGTCGAGCTGAGCTTATATATAAAATTTCAAGTAAATCGGTTGAATATTTTCTTCAAAATGTTCAAAAATGTAAAACAGGCCCGCTAAAAAGTGCAGTTCCCGAGGTCTGATATATACCAAAAGTTGATCGATCCGTGCCATGGTGGAAACAAACTTACATATAAAATTTCATCAAAATCGGTTCAGCCGAACTTGAGATACACGCGTGCACACACAGACCGACAGACCGACAGACCGACAGACCGACAGGTTGCTAAAAATAGTTTATTTACACTTCCCTACTATGGAGAAGTACGTTCCCACCGAAAACTCGATATGCAAAATTTGTTGCCATCACATAACCTACCTATTGTTTACACAATACGGTCGGTAAAAAGAACAACCAGATTTGGTGCGAATCACAAAATAAAGAAAAAATAACAAAAGTATAATAAAAAATTTTCCCGGTTATTCGAATTTTTATTTAGCCTTTTTTTTCTCTCCCTTTTTTTCTGCTCTTTCTACCACCACAATCATAATATCAAAATAAATGAAAAGAAAAATTATTTATTAGACTTTTAAAATAAATTCTGTGAGAATTTTTTTTTGAACTGACGGAAAAAAGGATGGTATAAGATACTTAAAAAGGGTGAAAGGAATGAAATTTTGTAATATAAAGGAGTTGAAAAAAAGTTTGAAACTAAGGCATTGGGTTTCTTAAAAGCACATTTTTTGTTTGAAGCATGCTCCAATTATTTTCAAGCATATTTTTAAATTTATGATTTCCAAACATTTTCGGAAACTCAATTTCTATATTTGAAAAGTTAATATTACCTTCGGATTCTAAGCAGGTTAAATTATAAAAATTAACTCACTTGTATCGTTTTTTGTTAGTCTGTCCCCAAATAAATAACAAAGAAGGAATAGAAGCTGACCAGTACTATGCAATAATTTTTCATTAAAATAGATGACTCTATACAATCAAAATAATATTGCAAATTCCTTAGACAAGTTAGACACTATTACAGAATGTCTGAAACTAAAACTAGATATTTAGGCCAGCACTTCCTTTATTAAAAAAATTTCTTCTCAAATATTGTAGTATAAAATTTTTGTATTTTATTTAAAAAATTTATTTTTTCTCACACTAAAAATTTCCCTAATCGGCAATATTAGTATGTATAAGAATTACATTTAAAGTGAATAAAATTTTAGAATAAAATTAACAGTTAATTTTTGTACTTCAAGAGTCAATAAACTGACATTAGTCCAAAAATTCATAATTTTCGTTTTTTGGTGTTTCGTTACCATTAAGGTTTTCATTAACTTGCATTATGTACACAGGATTATTTAGATTATTTTTCATTAAAACAAAATATGTCGTGCCCTCAGCTTAACAAATGTTGCCAAGTGACGACCGAAAGTCTGACTGACTCGTATAACACAGATAAATCACAAATTACTTTCAAAATAAATATATATATACATACATACCAAAAAAGAAATATATGTATATATTTCTTTTTTGCATAAAATATGCTAAATGGCAATGGTGAAAAAAAAGGGATTTCGTTTTCTGTAGCAATTTGCCGTAAAGTCCAATTTTAAACATAAATTTTTTTTTTCTTCTTCAATATTATTTTGTTTCCCCTTCTTGGCAAAATATATGTACATATTTTGCATAAAATTTAAAAAAAAAACAAAGAATGAGAGAAAAAATAAAAAAATGAGTGGAAAATATAAAAGTAAAATGTGGAAAATTTTAGAAAGGATTCAAAGATTTGAAGATGTTTCAAGATTTTTGTTTTAGTTTTTCTTATACTATTATACGAATTTTTCGTCTTAGAAACATATGGTGTCTTTTTGAGAAAATCTATTTAAATAAGTTTTGTTATTTTTTCTTGTTTTATTATTCTAAATGATTATTATCGTATATAATTTTGAATTTTACATTATCTTATCTATACAAAGATACATAGAATGTTTTGAACTAAAAATATACTTGTAATATTTTGTAATACTCGTATATATATACAATCATTTACGCAAACGTATACAATATGTTTACATTGTACATTCATAAACAAATAATAATATTGAATTGATGAAAAATGCTTAAAAAAAAATTTGAAATGAAAATTTGTTTTTGCTCACCCTTAAATATGAAATTATTTGGAAAAATTATCATACACAATTAACCATTATTTCTACAAAATTTGAAAACGTTAGAGCTATACAAATTTACGATTTAATAAAAATGAGAATTTTTATTTTAAGTACACAATTTTTAAATTTTTCAAATAGTTTGCAATATTTTACTGTGGGTAATTTGTATAAAATTTTGTGAACATATTTTACTGCTTTAAATAAAAAAAACAAATGTGAATAAAAGATTAGAAGAATCAGAAGGTTTTGTTCCCAAATTGTTGTGGATTTCGTTTATTTGAAAGTTTGCGTTCAAGTTGAAAATATGCATATATTGCAAACATCACCAAATAATTATGTGTTATGCTTTTAAATGTTCTAAATTTTATGGAAGCGTATAATATAGTGCATTGCGACCCGGAAAAATTTTATAATTTAAAATATTAATAGGAAATATTAATAGGAAGCGCGGTCGAGATTTACAAGCTATTAAAATAATTGCGCTATGTATACAAACAGAAGTTGAATAAACGATTCTAGTAAAAGAAAAACTTCTTCCTTCTTCTTATGAAGTTTTTCTTTTAAAATTAATATTTTATTCCTTAGCTTTACCACAAGTGATATAAAATACAATTTATTTATAATTTCCTTAAAATAATTACAATTATTTTCAGTGAATCACAAAAATATGATTATGCGATTTTAGAATTATAATTAAAGACCGTTTATCTAAAAAATTTTTCCCATATTTACCCACATCTACCCATATTATATTTTGTATATTCTCGAGCACTAATTTCTAAATTTGATTCATTTTATTTCAAATTATCACAATTTACAAAATTTCTCAGTTGAAAATTATAAAAATTACACTAAAAAGCTATGCAATTTTGAAAACAAGTATTCAAACTCTTAGTTTTCCCCATTTCATTTCACTACGAAGCAAATAGTGCGAAGTTTATGCGTTTATTTTGTAATTATTTACCATTTGAAAAATTATTAAATTATAAAATAAGTTTAATTTTAAATCTAAATTTAAACCTTTTCGCCGCCTACACAATATTCGAAATTTCAATGCAGTTTTACTCCTTAATTATTAACATACTTATAAATTCTCTATAATATAAATAGACGGAAGTTCAGATCATTTTAAAAATGTACATTCTATTCGACCTTAACCCCCCTGATAATATCCTTTTACATTTTGGAAAAAAATATTTATTTTTTTCTGACAACTTCAAATTTAATTTATTTTCATTTTTTATAAATTTACCTTTCATTTTAAATTTTATTCTATAGAATTTTATATTTTGGTTACCACATTTTTTTTTCTTTTTCCATTTTTAGGTACCAAAAAATGCCCTATCTGGAATGACAATGTTAATGGCATTAGATTTTGATTCAAATGAAATATCTGAAATTGAGGATTACAGTTTTTATGGTTTACGTATTGTAAAATTAAATATGAAAGGTAATCGATTGGAAATAATACCAGAAAATGCATTTTCCGGTTTAGCAGATACAATGGGTGAAATTGATTTATCAGAGAATCGTTTAAAATTATTTCCAATGTCAGCATTAAAACGTTTAGATCATTTAAGAATGTTACGTTTATCATTTAATCAAATATCAAAAATATATTCAGATTCAATAATAATTGATGGTACACTAACAAATGCTAGATTACATTCTTTAATATTATTAGATTTAAGTTCAAATCGTTTTGAAGAAATAATTGATGATGGTTTTCGTTCATTTCCGCAATTAAAAACTTTATCATTATATTCAAATCAAATTGAAAATGTTCATAAAAATTCATTTCGTTCATTAAAAGAATTAATGTCATTGGATATGAGCCGTAATCGTATTATATATTTAGATTCAAAAATATTTGAAAATAATAAACGTTTACAAACAGTTGATTTAAGTTATAATCATATACATTCAATAAGTGGTGTATTTTCAAATTTACCACAATTAAGAGAAATATTTTTATCCGAAAATAATATATTAGAATTACCAAGTGATGCCTTTACAAATTCAACAAATATCGATGTAATTTATTTAGAATCAAATGCAATAAGATATATTGATCCAATGGTATTTAATACATTAGGTAATTTAGAACAATTATATTTACGTTCAAATTTTATACCACAAATACCAGTTACATTATTGGATAAAACATTACATTTAACATCATTATCATTAGATGATAATAGAATACAAAATTTAGAAGTTGGTATGTTTCGTAAATTGGAATATTTAAGAGAAGTACGTTTACATAATAATAAAATAAGAAAAATATCACAACGTGTTTTTCATCCATTACCATCATTACAAGAATTACATTTACAAAAGAATTTAATTGAAGAAATTGAAATGAATGCATTTTCAAGTTTAATTAATTTACAACATATTAATTTACAAAATAATCAATTAACATTTATTGGTGATATATTCCCAAATAATAAAACAACAACAGTAACATCGAATAACAACAATAATAATAATTTAAAATATGGTAATTCAAATTATTATCAAAGTTCATCATCAATAAGCGGATTAACATCGTCATCGTCGTCGTTATTATCGTCATCATCATCATCGTCGTTATTATCGGCATCAGCGTCGTCATCGTCATCATCATATTTATTATCAATACAATTAAATATGAATTTAATAACTGGTATACATGAGAGAGCATTCATAAATCAAGAGAATATACAAATAATGTGGTTAAGTGAAAATCGTTTACAAAAAATCGATAAATATCTATTTAGAGATGTAAAAAATTTAGAAAGAGTTTATTTATCAAATAATTTAATAAAATTTATTGAAAATGATGCATTCCAAATTATTAAAGAATTAAAATTTCTTGATATGAGCGGTAATCGTTTAAGAACAATACGACGTGATTATTTTTCAGCACTTAAAGAATTGGAAGAATTAAATTTATCATATAATTATATTGAAACAATTGATGGATATTCATTTAGAAATTTAAAAAAATTAAAAATTTTAGATTTATCAAGTAATCCATTAATACAAATAAAAGAGCAAATGTTCCAAAATGATTTATTTATAACAAGTTTAAATTTAAGAAATTGTTCATTAAGAAAAATTGATGTTAATAGTTTTCAAGGATTAACAAATTTAAATGAAATTAATTTTGAAGATAATTATTTAAGTAGTGCTGATATACATAAATTAGATGTACCATCATTAAGAAATTTAAAATTATCAAATAATAATTTTAGTCATATTGGTGTTGGTGGTGGTAGTAGTATTACAAATACAAATAATAATAATAATAATAATGGTGGAATTATTAATGGAATTGGTAATAATAATAATAATGGTAATGGTGGTGGTGGTGGTATAATATCCGGTATGTTTGATAAATTACGTTCCTTACAACAATTAACATTAGCAAATTGTAGTTTAAAACAGATACCAGAACAATTATTCACAAAAAATACAAATTTAGTTAAATTAGATTTAAGTGACAATCAAATACGTTCAATTAATCGTAATGTATTTAATAATTTAAATGTTTTTAAAGAATTACGTATTGATCGTAATCAATTAAATGAATATCCTCATATAGCATTATATAATTTAACAACATTAGAAATTTTAACATTATCACAAAATTATTTAACAAATATTGATTTTTTTAAATTAAGTGGTACACCAAATATACGTTATTTGGATATTAAAGATAATACAATAACATCATTACAAGGTTTTAATGCAATTAATTTAACACAACTAGATTTTATTGATTTAAGTGGTAATTTATTATTATCATTACCAGCAAATTTTTTACGTCATTCAATTAATTTACAACGTATTGATTTATCAAGTAATCGTTTTTTACAAATACCAAGTTCAGCATTATCTGATACATCATTACCACGTTTATCATGGTTAAATTTAACTGGTAATCCAATTAATAAAATTTATACAGTTAAAGAAGAAAAATATCCATATTTAAAAGAATTATATATATGCCAAACAAATTTAACAATATTAACAAGTAAAGATTTTGAAGCATTTCAACAATTACAACATTTACATTTAATGCAAAATCGTATTGTTAGAATATCACCTGGTGCATTTAATACATTATCAAATTTATTAACATTAGATTTGAGTATAAATGAATTAGAATTGATACCAAAAGAAAGATTACAAGGATTAAAATTATTACGTTTATTAAATATATCACATAATAGTTTAAAAGATTTAGAAGAATTTAGTCCTGATTTAAAAGAATTACAAACATTTGATTTATCATATAATCAATTAACAAGAATATCAAAAAATATATTTCGTAATTTAAAAAATTTAAATGAATTAATATTAATGGGTAATCGTATAACAATGGTATCACCGGATGCATTCAAATTTTTAAGAAAATTACACTTTTTAGATTTACGTAAAAATTATTTTGAACTCCTGCCATTACAAGCCATTAAACCATTAGAAACAAATTTAAGGAAATTAAGAATGGAAGGTAAGTGTTTTGTTTTTTTTTTCTAAAAAAATTCTCAAATACCTTAAAATATAATTTGTTTACTTTTAAATGTATATCCGAATTTGGTTGATTGATATCTTAAGAAAACTCTAAAATTTTATTATTTAAACCGTTTAACTGTAGATCAATATAAAATAATGAAAGAATACAATTCAGCTCGATTTTTATATTTAGAATATTAATTATGCATATTAATATTATAAGAAATGAGCTACGCTGATCCAGCCAAAACGAGCATCAAACATGATTCCATGAAATTAAATTTTCCATGTTGGAAATAAATTAAAAATATTAAACATTATAAAATAGATACCATTAAAAACGTGCTAAGTAAAAAAAAAACCCTCTCGAATAAAAAATTGTAGTTTTCGCCATTTTATATTTTCATTAAATTTAGATCAACATAAAATGGCGCACCATTTTCCCATTCAACAAACATTATATGAAGCGTTATTAATTATGAACTAAACAAATTAAATATTTGACAATTTCACGCCATATCTTAAATTGATTAAAAAGCTGAAAATTCTAGTGTTATAACTGTTAAATCATACCATTAATCAGTTTGTTTCCAGTGCATTAATATTGCTCTTGCCATCTTGAAATTTAAATCAATTACTTATATACTATAGGTTAATAAATTTACTAAGTTAATTTTCTAAAAATGAGATTATAATACAGAATTACGAGTAAGATTTCAGAAAATTATACTTTCTTATATTCATTAAAAATTCATAAAAGTTCACATATCTAAAATCGAATAATAATTCTGTTTGTGCTTATAAAAAGGTACATTTTGAAAATATTCGGATACTAATTCAGCTCCTCAAATCTGTGTTTTTAATCGTGCTCCTCAAATCTGTGTTTATGAAATTTTTATCACATAATTGTAACACACTAAGCTTGTAAATAAACAGGTTTTTTTAAAATGGTTCTTAAACGAAATTCGGCACAGTACCTGTACATACATACAATGTAATGAAAATTATTTTTTACTGATCCCATAAAAATTTCTTTTAGATTTGTAATCGTATTCAATTTATTTTCATAAATCCATAGAAATTCATTTAGAGTCATGAAATTCCTATATTCTTCTATTTACGAGTATTTAAACAAAATCATATTTGTGTCATAAATATTTGTATAAAATAATCGTAATTTTTCATTGAAAAATACCAAAATTTATAACCCATACTAATTAACTTCAGAAATAATAAATGCAAAACATTCTACATTGACTGACATTACTGACATTCTATATTGACGAAATATGTAACATTATAAAATATAAAAATATCAAAAAGTTATAGGTACTATTAAAGCTTTAATCCATATAAACACTGAAGCACCTGGTGTTTAGTAAATGTTAACATTTAAAATTAAATTTAATTCTTGTGTCATATTCAAAATAATAAAGATTTTAATTTAATTTAAAACAAAATTGGTAATAAAGCCATAGAAAGCATTATGGTATTATCTACACAAGGTAGAGAATCAATACAATTTCCACATACAAACATTTTCAAATACATTTTAACCGCTTTTTAAAATTAGATATCAAAAGGATTTGTATACCTTTACATTGTGTGTACAATATAAAATACACAGGCACTTTATAAAATATTATCAATAAGACTTTCTTTTATTCTTATACCAAACACACACTCTTTTATAATGCATTAGTTAGTTCGTTTGAAATTAACCTACCTATACGTACATTATTCGGACAAAAAAATAGAACGAACAACAAAAAAAAAAGAAACTAAAACAGAAGCTTTTCTTTTCAATTATCCTTATTTTTTATTTTATTGATCTTTTTTTACTTTTACCAATTTTTTTCTTTTTTTTTTTTTTAATTTTCTAAAAATTTGATTTTAATTAAAAGTGAAAATTTTCTATTCAAAAATCAAAGACTTTAAAATCACCTTTGTGAAAATCAAAATTAAAGTCTTTGAATCTTTATATACGAAAAAAAAGTATAGATGGTATACAGTATACCTACAAACACACTCTGATAAAATTTTACCATCATCAGGAAATGAATTAACTACATTTCATATATGGATTGGAATACGTATTATACACAAAAGACCTTTTGTGGAAAATAAACACTATACAAAACAATATTATACAGTACGTATAACGTGCAAAACCCCAAAAAGGAATCCACACATATTGATTTAAATATAATTTTTATCTTGTCTATCTATAACATAGCTACATCCTCATCTACTCTATTTAATAAAAAAAAATAAATAAATCCAATCAATTTGTAACATTTCTAAAATACGATTTGGAATTTATTATAAATGAAATGTACACCAAATAGATAAAAGCAATTTTCATAATAAGTATAAGTGCAGTATAAGCCTTCAAAAATATATATGTACGTGTATACCATCATAAAATATATTCGCTAAATTTCATTGTGGTTACCATTTATTTTCATATACGTACCTACGTCTACATTTTATAAATTATTATCTACATAAATAAATTGAAATAATATACAAAACAAAAAAAAACTAAATTTGTAATTAACAATATTTAACTTAGATTTTATACGTATACAAAAAAGTGGTCATAAATGAAATTTCACCTAATTTTATTAGGTATACATATAAAAAGTTATGTGTTATACGAAATGAATGGATTCGTTGCTATTTTAAGAATAACTTTGGTATTTAAATTTCATAGTTTAAAATTCATAAAGAGTATAATTTTATGTATATGAACTGCATATAGTATTTATAGAGAGTACATATAGATCTACTTATGCCTAGTAAACAATACACCTATACTCATATGGATCTGCTTGAGCTATGGCTCTTTCAAACACACATGGCAAATGCGAACAATAAACGGAGGAGGCATACTTATTCATGAATTTTTTGAAAAAATATTTTTTTATTTTCAATTTATTTATGTTTTCTTATTTCCTATTTACTTATTAAATCTTATTCCAATTTAAATTATTCATTAAAATCTATAGCCTATATATATAGAAAGAGAAAAATTAACGATATCACATTATTTACTCGATTTATTGCTGTAAAATTCTGTTTTCCTGAAATCGCTGAAAAGCGAAAAATTTTAGTCTATAACTGGTAGAATTGTGTATTAGTGAAAATATATTGCGGCAGTTTTGAAATCGCAAGAAAAGTTCCACACAAAAGCTCACAAAATCTGCTTCAAATTTTAAAAGTTTATTCTAAAAATTTTTAGAAACAAGAGCCTTACAACAAAATTTTACAATATTGAATCCTAATTTGATCAAATTTTTAATTTTTGGTATTACTCCTAATTGTATTAAACAATTTTCGTTTAGAAATATTTTTAAAAATTTTTCTTTCTCAAAAAAATTTAAGTAGTTTTCAATTCAACTATTATTAAAAAGTTTCTTATTTTAACTTAAAAATCTAAGGCTCTTATATTTTTGAAAAAAATCATAAACCTGCCACATATACATATTATGTAGATCAAATTTACATATAATATTTAGGCTACATACATAATTTATACAAATAATTATTTAAACAATATTATTTTTATACAAATAATTAAAAAAAAAATAAATGCACACACATACAAAATGTTAGTTTGATTAACTGGGGCCTTACTATGCTCCAGTTAATCAATTCTATTCAATTTTCGTAGATTTCGGTATTTGCAGAAATGGAAATGTAGAATCATACAAATTAATTGGTGATGCTTTACAATTGTTTCGAATACAGAAATCACAAAAATCGAATTAAATATGGTAAGACCAAATTAATTTATCAAATTTCGAATGTTGAGCACTCTAAAATAAACAAATTTTTAATCATTACAATTATCGAGAAATAAAAAAAAAAATTAAATTTTTGAGCTTTTATATCTGCATACATTTTGCCCAAAACTGTAATAAAAATTGCGGCACACAATGTGCTGTTATACTAATAGAACTTTTATTTTATTTTTATAGATATCCTCAAATTATCCTTGCGACAACAATCAATATCAATTTATTCATAACCAAAAAAAAAAAAAAATAAGTTTAAATTAACTTTGTACTCATTCCCACCATCACCAATAAAGAGAAAAATATTTTTTTTTGTTGTTTTTACCTGTGCGACTAATATGGAAATTTGAGAGAAAAAACAAAAGAAAAAAAAAATTTTTGTCTACAAGGTGCGCTCTCAAGAATATTCTGCATTGTAAATGCGAAAAACTACAGTACAGGGTTTTTAAAAATTTGAGAAAGCTTTATAGAAATTTATGAACTTATGACTTTATGAATTATTAGTGTCTCGACATGATTGCTTATATCTACTTATTAATAGTTCTTTAAATTACAAAAACAGCCATGGCCTCAAATAGCACGGTATAACACTTTTACATTCGTTTCTTTCCCGGAATATGTGAACCAATATACCTTGTGTTGTCCTCATATGTTTCCTTATTCCAACTCAATTTAGAAGAGTCTAATTAATTCGATTGTTAAGGAAACCTAAGGCTTTTACAAATCCTCTCAAGTCGATTAAATTTTATGGATACTTGTGGATCGTCTTCATTTCGTTAGCTCCCTCCACTACTCTTTTGTAACTATTTCACAAAAATTTTATTGTTTTCATTTACTTTTAGTGATTGCTAGTTATACCGGTTTTTTTTTTATCGTAACAAAAGTTTTTTAGCCGCAATAAATATTTTTATCCTATATAGAATTTTGCTGCATTTAATTTGCCATGCAGTCTCTTACAGGTTCTTCTTCCTCTTTACGTCGCTATTGTACTTGAATAATATTCTTAAATAAATTTATGTGCAATGAATATTCTTTCATTAAATATAAATCTTTCGTTAAAATATTCTTTTTCTCTTTCAGTCATAAATATAAATTTTCTTTTTGTGTTATTGTTAAATTTTTTTTTTGTCCTTATTCCAATTTTATTCTACCTTTATTCAAGATAACAGAATATAAAAGTACATACTTCCCATTCTCATTTACCTACCACTTTTTTTACGCACACTTTCCTACATAAATGTATACATAATATATTTTGCAGACATGTAAATAATATCCTTTTATATCATTATTTTATATACATACATATTATTATTATTATTAATATTATTATTTTTTATTATTATAGAGAATCCTCTTCAATGTACTTGTGATTCACAAGAACTTTGGGAATGGTTAAGGGATCATCAAAAATGGACCACTGAGGACAATGTACATTATTTAAGGTGTGAACAACCAGGTGAACTACGTGGTAGAATATTTTTAAAAATGGAACCTCAACAATTTTGTGATGCACCATTAATACTTAAATTGGCAATACAGGATATTCAACCTTATTCAGTTGTTGTATCATGGCAAAGTCGTGAACATTCTGGTCTTAATGGTTATGAAATTATATATCATGCTTTAGATGGCGTTGATGAGGTAAGTGTGCAAATAACCATGAAATTGCAACATTGCAGATTGTAGTTATCGCAATATTGTTTTTTTCTTTCATTTTTCTTGTTTTGTTTTTGATTATTTTTCATACAATCATTATCAACATCGTCAATTGAGCCAGATTGGTTTTATTAAATTGCATTTATATTGAATATTAAATGAATGTAGGAGTAAACCATCTACATATGTATATACATTATGTATATATTTAGATATACAGAATTAATATCAATTGGCTTATAACAATTTAATAGCTATTTTTAACTATTTAACTACTATATGTACAGTTATACCACATTTTGTGAGATATTTTACATATAAGGTTATAAAATTTATTTGGAATTTTAAAAAGAGATTGATGTCATTTATATAAACTTTATGGAGCATTGAAATTCTTATACGAAAAGTACATACACAATATGTGGAAACTGAAAAAAAAAACCTTAAATATATCAGATACAAACATAAATTATTCAATATAAAACTAGTAAAATCCCAATACAAGAAGTGTTTCATCTAATTTTATTTAATTAATTGAACTTTTTGATCCGGTTGTCTTGTGTCACCTATATATCAGGAAATAAAAGCAAATGAATAATAATTAACAAAAATGAATTTTGAAAAATATCACTCAGTGTTTTTATAGAGAATGAATGATGTGCTGATTTATAAAAAACAAGGTTTAATCATACATGCATCATTTACTTCAATACTGCAGTGGTTCTTTTGCTTTTTGGTGCATATTGCTCTATACATTTTAAAATATAAAGTACTATTAATCTTCTTGTAATTTTTGGAATGGAAAATATTTATTTAAAAAAAAAGCAATTCTTTTTTTACTTTGTTTAATTCACTTTATTATGAAGTAATAATTAAATGAAGGTAGATTTCTGTTGAAATGTGGATTAGAAAAATAAGTTAATATTAAAGCATGTATAGAAATTTATTTTTTTTTGTTTTGCCCAAAATCCAAATAATCTTAATCAAGATTTGGGAATAAATTAATATTGACCTATAATATTAGCACCTATACAATTAAAAATGCATATTAATTTTGTATACGAAATACTTTAGGGCAATTATTATATAAAAATTATTCAGTTATACACTATGTTCAAGCAATAAGCAGTCAATTCATAAGGACTGACTAAAAAAAATCTGCTATTGTGAGTGAGATGCAAACTTAAAGGATGAAAACATGAACGTATATACAAAAACGGGCTGCATAATAAGTTTATTGCTTTTTTGACTATGTTAAATTGAAAAAAACTCCATTTCAATAGTTTTTTTTTTCATATATCCTTCAACCATATTAATCCTTAATCAGGCGCCAATATAAATTTGTTTATGTGATTATAGAAATAAAGATTTTTTTTTTAAGCTGTACTATTTTTATTAGGCCTTAATTATTTAATTTAAATAAAATTTTTTTTTGTATTTTAATTATGAAAGAAGCGATAAAGAAATCTCGTCATATTTTTCATTCTTTTTCACTTGAATTAATTTTTCGCTTCAAAAGACTTTTCTTTGTCTACTGATCTTTAAACTTTTAATTAAACGTTTATAAAAATGACTAACAATATTACTTTATTTTATTCATGTATAAAAAATTTTTAATGTTTATATAAAAAATTTGAATTTTTTCTGTTAGATTATTTATTAAAAGCCTTGCGCTTCCATATTTTATTTGAATATTTTGAAATTTTCAAATAAAAATTTCTATTTCTAAATTCGAAATAATAATTTTCATTCTCAAAGAATGTTTAGAAATAAAAGTAGTCAAAGTTATTCAAAAAAGAAACTCTTAATATTTTAATCATATTGAAACAGTGGCTAGTGGTTTTAATTATGATTTCAGTTTACCATTGACATAAATTTTTTATAAATTTAACAAATCTAAGAAAATAGGTTTCAATTTACATTTGTTTATTATTTGGATGTACATACATATATTGAATTCCACGTTTATTAAATAAATTTGAAATTTTGCTCTTTAACTATATTTTAAAAACATTTTGAAATATTTTAAATACATAGCTGGAATAATCCAACAATTAAAGTATTTATTAATATTTTACTAGCAAAACTAAAACTATAATTTTTCATAATATCAAATAGCCATAACAATTTGTGCTATTGAAGTCTATAGAAACGCACTAAAATCTAGAAGAACATACTAAAATTTCTTTATGATTTCTAAATTTAAGTGTGATACGTCCTCAACTATTAAAAAACATGAATTTCACAGCCACCTGATATAAAAATTTAGATTTTATTGCAGCTATTTGCCAAATTTAAGAATGTTGAAATATTTTGTAAAACATGAAGACAAAAAACATGAATAAAAAAAAAATAATAAGCGCGTTCTTTTTTAGAGTATTTAATATTTCAAAAAACTTTCTGTCGAAGAAGTTTTTTGAGGAAGCGCTTTTTAGAATATGGAAATTCTATTATGCTTAACATTAAAAATCTGTTATTAATTTTCAATATAAAATATAAAGCTTTCCACCGAAATAAATGCTAGTAAGTTTTCGTACTCAACCAATTATATTAAGAACGTTAATTCACCTACAATTTTTAATATTATACTAGTTTATAAATAAAAATCCTCTTATGCTACATAGCAATGCAGTGTGGTTTAACTGAGTTTTTAATTAAAATAATACAATAATGAATATTTTCTCAGTTACTTTTATACTAAAATGTAGTAAAAATACAATAAAATATTCATGATAATTGCCTGCAACTCTTATCAATGATATTACAGAGATATTTAAGTAACTATGTTAAGCTATAATTCTCCTCTTATATACATACATACAAGAATCGTATAAAAATTGTTCACGGATTAAGAAATATTTGCCATTTTCCTCTTAGTAAAGCTATTAATTTCCATTTTATTTTGTATCATATTTTATTGTATGTGCGAATCTACTTTAATGGTTTGCCAAAAAGTGTTAATATTATTTTTTTTATACTTATTTGTTTTTTTTTATGGATGGATAAAAAAAAAATTGGAAAACAAAATACTTATTTCAAGTACTAAAAATATTTCCAAAAAAAAACGTACTTATCAGGAAAACGTATTAGGAAACCTCAGTATTAAAGGTTGAAGGAAAGATAAAGCTCTTTCACAAATAAGTAAAGCTTAACTTGATATAAAATCTTAATGTTAAAGGCTATATCAAACAAAAAATATGCAACTTCTGCTAAAATTTCAAGTTCAATATTAAGCAAATAATAAATAGATAGTAAGAGTTGCTGCTGATCTGAAAGTTCATTTAAGTGCTAAAACCTTAAAAAATAATTCCAATATTTTTGTGACAATAACACTTTATTCAAAGTGCGTTTTGTATTTAATATCGAACTGATTACAAGTTTACTAGTAGGTTATAATTGTATTACCACAAATAGCTGCTTATTTTGTTTTTGATAATAAATTTATGCTATTGAAATGGTAACTGATGAAAAATTTTAAAATAAACAAATAAAATGGAGACGCCAAAAAAAATATCTTTGCATTTTTGATGATTCTAAGAAAACAACACTAAATAGACATAATAATAAAAGATTGTTATAAGTTTTCTAAAAAAATTTTAATAGTTACTTGTGCTTTAACGGAGTTCGAAAAGTTTTTGTTGCTCTTACAAAAATATACAAAATTCAATATAATTAAAAGGAAACGTGCACGTTTATTTCATTCGAATTAATTTTTTTTTTTTTTTCTGTTGAACGTGAAATATTTTCCCATACGAGAAACTAAAATGTAATATTCTTAATCCGATTATATAAATAAAATATTTGCGTATAAATAGCTCGTGATTATACATACAATGTTAATATATAATAATAAAAATAGATACACATTTATACAAACTTTCCTATTAAAGTTTAATATTTTGTAAATTGCTTTTCCATTTCAGTTAAATTTGTTACTCTTTATTTGTAAATCTATCTCATATCTGTAGTTCTATATAAATATTTATTACGTATGTGTAGTGCAGATATTCAAATAAATTGAAATACTTTTTGATATGATATTCGTAGGGATTCTCATATTGTTTGTATATTATATAGTAAATAGCACCTGTATTACAATTGCATATTATTGGAAATTAATGTTCTTGAATTTGATTTGAAAGTGACATGCATCTAATATAAAAATATTCATATAACTTTAATGTAAGCAAAATACCAATTATTTTGTTTGCAATATTGATAAATACTAAAATTGTATATGTAAGAAATTGATAATTTAAATTGTGTATGCATAAGAATGTCGTACAGTAAAAGATAGAAACCCTTTATATTTATGTTTAATTGAAATTATTGAAAAGATAAAATAAGATATAAATTTCATGAACAAAATAATTATAATAACAAAAGTGATTAAATTTAGATCTTATTGTATCTATTATATTATCCTTTTATCAAAATGAACTTTAAAGGATTTGAACTTTAAAGAATTTACGTAATGCAATTACAGAGTGAAAGTAAATGCCTTTGCATGATTTCATATTTTACTTAAATTTTAATATATAACAATTTAGGGAAAAATGAAAATTGTTATATAATTTAGATATATTATGAATTCAATATATTATAATTTTCATGTTTTCACAAAAATCTATACCTTAGGAAACTTATAAAATAAGGTTACGCTTTCAGTTTAAAACGAAAATATATAAAGTTGATGGTATCACAATCGTACGCATTATTGAATATATTATGACTTACCCACAAACATGAAAATAGTCAAATATTTCTAAAATATTAATTAAATATTTTTGAAATTCCATTGAAAATATCATAAGCACTTGAACAATATTCCTCCTTTTTATGAAAATAGAGGCGCTGTTTTGATGGAATTCATTCAATTATACTTCACAATTAAAATTTCAAAAAAAAAACTCTTATACATATTTCGTTATAAGAAATAAAAATTTTATACAATTTGTGAAATATTTGATCACCATTAGTTTACTCTGCTAGAGGGTCAGTCTATAACAGTATTTTACAAAATTCACAATTCTAAAAAATATAGTACTATATACATAAGTACAACTTAGTACTCTAAAAATAGAAAACGCATCTTCAAAGTTTTTCAAAATAATTGAATAAAAAATTTTAAAAAATCATTATTAAATCATTACTACTAAAAGTAAAACTGCAATCTCTCTCATTAAAACTGATGAATTTGAAAATAATCTGACAATAAAATTTGTATCACATAATGTGTTTTCCTTCAACAACTTATATGCCTCCCTAACTTTATTTTATTTAGTTAAATATCACATTGTTAAACTAAATCTCTTTTATTTTTATAATTGCATACGAGGGTCACTATTTATATTTCGGGTCCTGGCAATACTAGTGCTGACAGGTGCAATCTGACACTTCCATTGGAAAGTTTGACATTTTTTAGGACAACTTCACTCAGAACGTTTTGTCATTCGAGCGCGAATTGTTTTGTTTACAGTGACTTGAAAAATTCATCTCGGTCAAAAAATGGAATTGTCCCGTGAAAATTTTCGTGCGATGATTTTTTACGATTTTCGGCGCGGATTATCGAGACAAGAGTGTCTCGATCAACTTGTTTCGACTTTTGGTGATGAAGCACCATCAAAAACCACTGTAAATCGCTGGTACCAAGAGTTTGGTTTCGGATGCCGTTCGCTCCAGGATGAATTTCGTGAAGGTCGGCCAATTTCGGTCGTTTTGCCGGAAACCATCGATGCTGTGCGCGAAATGATAATGATGGACCGGCATGTGACATACTGTGAGATTGAGGCATCCTTGGGCATTAGTTCCACCAGCGTACATAAGATATTGCATGAACATCTTGCCGTGAAAAAGGTGTGTTGTCGATGGATCCCAAAAAATTTGACGATTGCACAAAAGAAGGCTCGTGTCGATTGGAACAAAGAAATGTTGAAAAAATTCAATCGCGGTGCGTCAAAAGACGTTTATAAGATAGTCACAGGTGATGAATCATGGATCTATGCATATGAGCCCGAAACGAAACAGCAATCGACCGTATGGGTGTTCCAAGACGAGCCAAATCCAACAAAAGTTGTTCGTGGAAGAAGCACATCGAAGCAAATGTGGCCACAACCGGTCATGTGGCCACAGTACCTTTAGTGGAGCGTAGGACGGTCAATTCTGAATGGTACACCACCATCTGTTTGCCGAAAGTTTTCGAAGAAATAAGGAAAACAAACAAGCGCCGGCGAATCATTCTTCATCATGACAATGCAAGCTCTCACAAATCAGCTGAAACAATGGACTATTTGAGCACTCAAAATGTCGAATTGATGGGTCATCCGCCGTACAGTCCTGATTTAGCACCCAATGACTTCTTCTTATTCCCTCACATCAAAAAAAAAATGCGTGGACAACGATTTTCAACACCTGAAGAAGCAGTCGATGCGTTCAAAAACCATGTTTTGGAGGTGTCTCAATCGGAGTGGAAAAAGTGCTACGAAAATTGGTTTCAGCGCATGCAAAAGTGTATTGATCTTCATGGGGAATATTTTGAAAAACAATAAAACCATTTCCAATGATAAATGTTTGTTTTTTATTGCTAGACCCGAAATATAAATAGTGACCCTCGTATTTATAATTGATTTTATTTATAGTTTTCATCATAAATAAAATCCTTTCAATTTCAAATACAAAACAATTGAATTCGTAATTATTATTGATTTTGTGTATAGTAAACATAATGAAAATTCTTAAAATATTTCTATTATCATTTCAAAAAGTAATATCAATACATTAATACATGCATACACTTCTAAAATGTTAAATAGTTTTTGATTTAATTTTTAACTTCCGTTTTTTTCTAAAATTTAACAATAACCTACTAAATAATTTATAACAATATTTGTACAATGTAGTGTACAATTAATTTCTTCTTACAAAATTCATTCATTCATTCATTATTAAATGCATATTATGTACATATTGTGGTATAAAATAATCATTATAATATTTTACTTTTGCATTTTAAATTTATACAAATTATTTGAATTAAAAATTTATAATGAATTCATTAAAATATAATTACAGGTTCGTGGTAAAACATTGAGTGGTACAGCAAATTCAGCAAAATTACATAAATTATTATCAAATACAAGATATTTAATATGTGTCCTTGGTACTGGAAATTGGTTAACACCAAAAATATCAACAATATTAAATCGTATTCATTATAATGAATCATTTATGGTTGGTATTGAGAATAATGATGATATTTTTAACAATAATGTTAACAATAATAGTAATAATAACAATAATAACATTAGTAATATTAATAATAACAATAATAATAATATATTACCAGAAGAATTACAAGAATTACTTAAAGATTCAGCAACATCAAAATGTACTGAAGTACGTACACTTGAAGCAACACCAAATTTAATAACAGATGAAAATGCATTATCAAGTCAAGGTATTATACATTCAATATTAACACGTAGATTAGGTTTAATTGTTGGATGTTGCCTTGGTATTATTGTATTTATTGTATTAATATCTGTACTTAGTTATATTAAATTAAAGAAACAACGATTAGAAAATTCAAAACGACAAAATGCCGTACCAAATGAATATATAACATATAGACATTTTTCAATACCAAATGAAGAAATAAATCGTAATACAATACCAAGTGGTGTACCTGGTGGTATTGGTGCACATATAAGTGCAACGTCAGCAGCAACATCAGCTGCAAATAGTGGTCCGTGCAGTACAAGTAATACTGCATCAACATTAATGGGTAATGATGGTTCTAATCACAATCATCATCAGCACCATCAACATCAGCATCAACAACAACAGCAACAACAGCATCAACAGCATCTACAACAACAACAACAACAGCATCAACATCATATTAATAATAATAATCATACAACTTATATGACTGGTGTTGTATTAGGAACAAATTTAAATGCTTGTTAATTGATATTTAAAAATATTATTATATTATTACAAATTATATGAAAATATTAATTTATTCATATACATACATATATAATGGTATATAATGTGACTACATAAAATATTTCTATAGTGTATAATGTAATTTTAAATGATGTAAGCATTAAGGATACATTTTATAATATAGTAGATACACACAAATTATGCATGTACATAACAATAATAATAATAATAATAGAAATAGTGGAGCATAATATTAAATAAATATAAGATTAAAATATCGACGTATTCGTAAATATTCGTAAATATAGGAAACAAAATATTGTTATACACAGATAAATAATTATGTCTCATATACCATAGTAAGTACATAATATTCAATTCTGCACACATTTATATTTTAACAAAAAAGAGAAAAAATATGGGAGAAAATAAAATACACAAAAATTTAATCAAATAAAACTAAAAAACGAAATGTAGGTTTAGCAATATTAAAATTATAGTGTATGTAATTCTAGTGTTACAAAATAGTTCAAAAATAGTAAATATTAAAATAAAAAGGGTGGAGTAAAAAAAAACTACGGTTTTTAGTTCTAATATTAAATAGGCATAATTTATGTTAAACATGAATAAATAAAACCTGATTTTGTTTCAAAAAGGTGGCTCTTTATATTTTAAAACTTATGTACATACACATTATATAGCTACGAAATCTTATCTTTTACAACTTCACATAGTTTGAAATTTTCTTTAACAAATCAAACTTTAATCTTAGCACAAATTTCTTGAAATTTACTAACAAGATCAGAAATGCCACTTTTTTGCTATAATGCCCAAATATCGTAATTGCATAAGTTCTGTAATAATATTATTGTAAATTTTTGCAGTTTTTATATAATGATGTCAATTTTTAAGTTTTAAATTAGAATTTTTGTACGTACAATATTATTGAAAAGTTGGATATTGTTAGAATTATATTATTGTTATTTATTGTTGATTATAATTAACAAACATTAAAGAAGAATTTTCGCTTTAGGTTTTTTTTAAATAATTAAAATAATAGTTTAGGTGAGTTAATTTTTAAAATATTGGATTATATAACTATGCCGAAGTAAGATTAAAAAGTTGGTTTAAATTGCACATTCTAATCGGTTACATTTTTAATGCACATTGCTCCCTTTTATAGAAATTATGTTTTTTGAAAATCACTGACGTACATATTGTAGTTCGGGAGTTGTATTTTTTGTTGAACATTGCTTTCAAAATATCTTCGTTTATTCAGAATTTAATTATACATACATACCTAAAATATTAAAAAATAATGTAATAAAAACAATATAGTCTTCAAAATTCCAATTCACCTTTTTTTTGCTGTCCAGTCCTATATTTTCTTGAGTGAATGTGATTTATGAATTTTCGAATTAGGATACAATTTTCCTATGAACTATTAATATTTTATAATAGGGCATCAAATAAAAAGTCAAAACATAAACGTTTAGTTTTTGTGTGAACATCGCAACCTGAAAAAAAATAACATTAATTAAATTTTTGTTCAAATTTTTTAGCAATTTTTTTGTTTTTTCAATTTATTGATTCTCAAAATTTTTTAGTCCATCTTTACGAAAAATAAAAAATAAAATAATGCGCTTTGGTTCTATTCGATATTCATTTCACAGCCTCAAAAAAAAAATAATAATTTCTATCGTTGTTACCGGCAAGCTGACGTAAATAGTTCTTTAATACATTTCAGTTAATTTTATTTCGATTGCCTATCTAACACTAAATTAACTATCTATACTCATTTAAACGTATTGTAAAAAATATCGCCAATGGGAAAATTTTCTAATATATTAGACGTGCAAGCTATTATAATAGATACAATAAAAATTTTATATCACGTCATTATTTTCATTTGCTTGGCGGTAGTTGAAGAAATAATTTATTACAGTGCCCCGAGTAAGTGAATATAAATGACTATAATGTCACTTATTTGATATTTACGTTTTATTTTAATTCTGTAAGATAAATCACTGGTGATTGGAAATTATTCATAGGTATTGAGGAGTTTTCAGTATAGAACTTTAAATATGAAATTTTTTTGATTCAATTTGAATATAATCATCTCATCTCAACATCTAAGAGAATATGACCGTAAAATTTTGTCGTATTAATTTGTTCTTCTTGTAAAAGAAATTTTAACTAAAAGAAAATTAAAATTTTTTATTATTAATCTAGAAAGATTTTTGTGATTAATTAATTTGTTAACTTCACCATTTTTAAATGAGGCTTAAAACAAATTTTATTTAAAAACTTTCTCAAAATTTTTTATTTCGAATTTTAATTTTTACTTCAAATTATGATATTCATTTAAGCCAAGATAAGTTTCGTTTAAAATCAGTTTTATACTTATAACAATAATAACAGTAATAACAGTTAAATAACATATAACAAAAATTTAATTGGAAATTATTTACAAATTGCTAGAATTTAATCATATTAAACCATCTTAATTTTTTTTTTTACATAAATTGCCATCAACTTATTTTGTACATATTTACCTATATGCATATATTTCATTTATAATGCTGTTATACATAATACCAGTATGTTTAATTTACTTGTAACATAAAATATACAATAATACAAAATAACAATAATAATAACAATAACAATAATAATAATAATGTGTATTTGGATATTGTAAATTTTATAGTTTAAATAATAAATGCAATATGTATCCTTATTTAATAAACGATTAATTAAATGCTATATAAGCTATGTATATTTTAATAAACATATAAAAAATAACCTGTGTCCATTTTGGCCTCATATATCGAGTTCATAAAATTACAAAAGGAGAAAAAAACAAAGGAACAAAATTATATTTAACTAATAACATTTCATACCTATAGTATAAAACATGTAAAACTCTAAATATAGGTACAACAATATAATCTATGGCTATTATACAAAAAATAATATAAAATATGTTTACATATTACATGGTTATTAACTAAAATGAGTCACAAAAAAAAAAATAAAACAAATAATAATGACCATATGCATGTATTGTGCATTTTAAGTACATTATGTACTTTAAATGCATTATTATGTATAATAAAAATTTAAACAAAAATATTGTACATAGATACATTATTGTAAATTTTTGTGTTTAATTTTTTTTTTAACCGCTTACTAATAAAAGTTACTAAAAAAAAAAACACAGTAAAAAAAAAAGGGAAATTAAACCACAAATTTTAAATGCATAATAGGAATAATAATAGGTTTAAAATAATATAATTAACAGTTGTATTATTTAATTATAACAATGAAACATTTATAACAAATTGTATTTATTTACACATTTGTTTATTTTCGTTATTATTAAAAATATTGTGAAAAAATTTTTCTATATAAAAAAAATACTTTATTTATATAAAAATACGTGAAAATATTAACACTTTAGATTTTTTTTTTCCAAAATTTCACATATAACACATTAAAAATATATTACTATTGAATTAAAAATTTAATTCGGAAATTTAATTTTATTTTACCACATATTGTGCTATCATTTTAAATTAGTTATAATAAAAATCAATTATAGGAATGATTTTTATTATCTAAATAAATACTTGAAACGTTTAATATGCATATTCGAAAAAAAACAAATATATTGTCAGTTTAATTTACAATAATTTCAATTTAATTGGTCATTATACAATTAAAATTCTATAATTCGATACTTTATTTAAATCAAATGAATAATGAAAGGTCGATTCATTCATAATAAGTAATTCTAAGTTTCTAATATAAGTAATTTTATTTAAAAATTCAATAAAGCTATAGTTTGCTAAATACGACAAGTAATTTTCAATAAACTGATTTTATTCAAAAAGTTCTTAAATTAAAATTTAAACGAATTCCGTTGGAAGTGAATTTGATGGAAACAAATAGCTCTTCAATAATTACAATTTGCTATTGTTACTGCACATGATTTGGCGTACATAAAGATATTCTGAAATTATCCATACTTTTTTACCCATATAATGTAGGTACAAAAATTAAAGTTTACTATAAAAATAATATTTAAAATTAAAAATGTAAATTTAAAGTTTTATACACTCATAAGTTTCTATATTATTGACTAAATTGTCGTTCGAACCGAAAATACATCGTTTACTATTTATTGCGGTAAAAAAATTTTGTTCAAACCTACACCCGTATAATTTGTATTTTACACTCACCTATTATTTATAAATATTTGTAAACATGAATTAAATCTCTATTAAAAACATAATAATTATATTATAATTACGATAAGTGAAAAATACTAAAAAAAAAATTGTTTTTATGGTGTTGTTAAAATTGTTAGATTAGTAAAAAAAATTTAATTTGAAAATTTTACACCATATTAGAAAGAAAAAATTTTGTTTTCTATCTGTTTTTATAATAAATTGTAATAAATTTTTTTTTGTTTTAAATAAATTTATTATAAAAATAAAAAAAATTTATTATTGTGACGATAGTTAATATGAATATCAAAATTAAAATGTAAATATAAAACTAAAACTGAAATAAATTATTGAAATATAATTGTACAATAAGAAAATCTGTAACAAAATACATAATTAATGTGATTAAGGATAACATGTTAAATATTTATTTTAAAATTGATTATTTTTTTTTTCTTTTGTAAATAATAATAATTACTTAGCCTGTAAAAAAAGAACTTTATTCTAGTTATAATTGTATAAAATATTTAAATTTTACTGTTAAATTTTGTAAAATTTTATATTTCAAAGAAATCAAATATCATTTAATTAAATTATTTCATTTCTCCATTATTTGATACTCATTACAAATCCAAATAAGTCTAAGTTAAATAAAGTTATGCATTCAACGAAGTAAATCACAATATAACAGAAAAACGGAAAAGTGTTTGCCTATTTAATTGGCTTATTATGTACAGTGAATTCTTTTAATTGTCGAATTCATTGCGAATTCGACAAAAAAAATTCGCCAAACATACATCGCAGTTGTTAGACATGTTGGCGAATCCACCACAAATAATAAGCCTATAAATAATATATTCTCAAATAAATAAGAGAAATCACATGAACTATTTACAAATTATATACAAATAATTTA